TTGCTTTTCTGCTTCTCTGTCCACTGGAGAAAAACAACTTTTTCAGCTTCTGAGAAGCTTTGAGTCACACTAACCACAAATTACAATAAACATGGGAGAAGACGACAAAAAATGGTGTATTTTTACATTTCATTTGCTTTAGCAGGAAAAAAAATGTGATTTTCATAAGTGCTATATTTATCCATCATTTAAGCCTTTAGTTGGGTTATTTAAGGAAATTGACAAACATAAAAAAAAAACATGTTGTTTGACAGTGGGAAGAAAATAGAGCATTTCCATATGGAGTCACATTCTGCAGCCCTATTGCTCATAGCAATACCCAGTATGGTCATGGGACGTCTCAAACAGTGATGTGGCAGCGCGTTATTTATCTGGATCACAGTGTGTGCGTGCATAAAGCAGAATAGCTTATGAGAGGAATATGCAGCAGTGGCACCATAAAAGGGAGCTGGAGAGGAGGTAGGAGAGTTGCAGCGCAGCATACTTTCCTCTCCTTGAAAAATCTTTCATACTGAGGCTTAGTTTTTATTACCATGCTGTGCTGATCCTCCTTGTTATATCTGCAGGAAAGCTCCAATTAATATGAAGACAAAGGCATCCTACTTAAACCTGCAGGCAGGGCATGCACCCTAAATGTAACGGACAGCTAAAAAGTTTAAATAAACCTAAACAGTACAAAAATATTTAATTAATGTAATACCTAATTGATGAACTTTGTGCAATGCATTGTAATGCTCCTGTTACTGTATTATGAGACAGAAAGGAGCTACTTAGAACCAGTGCATTAAATACAAGTACTAAATCCTACCGAGGAATCAGTGAGTGTGACGCTGGTCTGTGTCTATGAAAACCCTTTAAGAAGCATTTCGTCAGTGGTTAAAACACTGTTCTCTCCCAAAATGCTTTAAAATTAAACATCTGTGTTTTGTGTTTGAAGCCAAATTACTGTTTATCAGCTGTGATTACGATATACAGGCAAGAGGTCATAAAGTCGATTCCTTTCATCTTACACCAGTAAACAAAAGCTCTCCATTTTGTTGTAGAGACAACTTGTGCAATGGATTTCCTGGTGAGGCCTGGTTCTCCTGAAGGCTCTGAATCAGAAAATACTGATCCAGCAAAGGAGGAAAGTGATGCAACCTCCCATCCTGACACAGAAAGGTCTTTGAGGGTAACTCCCTCTGAAAGAAGGAGGGGGATTTACCCAATGGGGGAGGTCAGCTCCCACTGAAGGAGAGATAGAGATCATAGGGCCTCTCTGATGCACAGGATGTGTGTGCAGGTTTGTGAACCATGTTTGAGGAAGTCATATAAAGCAAGCCCAGGTTTAGCATCTAGGAGAAGTGCTGACAGCGCGTCTGCTCATGGCTGGGAGAGACTATCCTTCATTCGGGCTGAGTTTAACTCCACCCTCAGATAAATAGTCATTAGAAAAGGCAGAACAGATCTCTTTTCAAAGTTTAAGGAAAAACCCAAGTCTAACAAATGTGCCAGTGGTGTCTTCGTCTGCACAGCCATTGGCAGGTAGTGAGCGCATTAGGGGTGACCAAATAAAGAGGCTTGCATCAGAGATGGGATAAATCTGACTTCAGAAAGTAAAATCCCTGCATTGTTATTTCAGACCAATGCTTTCAAACTGAAATACTCAGGGGCTGGGGTCCTGGAACTTTTACGTGTGTATCTCGCCCAACATACTAGAATAAAATGGCTGAAGTACCTCACTAGGAGTGAAACTCTGCAAAGCTTTGCGGTGACACCTGGCTCAGTGGAACCAGGTGTGTTTCAGCAGAGGCTTGGAGCAAGGAGACTGTGGCCCATTGCCAATACCCACACTCCTGCCCTTGCGTACTTCAATCGCATGGTTCTACTGAGGGTTTCGAGTGCATAGTGTGTCCCAATTCTGCAGAGATCCACACTTGAGCGGAGCGTGCATCAACGCGAACTTCGAGAGAGTGAATAGCCCACAATTCATTGCTTCATGCCACGTTTTAGGTTAAAGAGTGGAAAGAGTAAAGATCCTACTTCATGGCTGTACATCTTATTTTGACATTTGATCAATTAGACGATGAATGGTATTACCAACCTATTAAGTTGAAAAAAAGTTAAGTGAAGAAAAAATAAAAAAAAGCTAATTGAAAAGATAAAAAGTAAAGTTAAAATGTTAATAAGCCTAGTTAACAATTACATTTAGGCTTATAAACTAAATATTTTTAAGTCAAGTATCAGCATTAATGCTTCTAAAGTTATGTTATACCAAATAAAATGTGTTTCTTTCACTCTCAGAGCCTTTTATCATGAATTTCTTATAGAAGCACTTTTGTTATTTTTCTTAATATATTCAGGCAAGTTGGCGTTTCTTGTTATTACATTGACCATCATTTTTGTCATCAAAATATCCATATTTTTTGAATTTTACAAAGGTAATAAGGTCTTGTCCTGGATTACAATAACATTATTGAAATTTGGATTTTCAAAGTATTTCATTGAGCGCCCTATAAAGGGTTAAAGATTGGTGAATAACAGTTGTTTCTGTGAATAATTTATAAGATGTTAATGGCACATTTAACCAACCAAATAAAACATTGCTTTAGACATTACTTTAGAGGGAATTTAGCCTTTTTTAGGGATGCTTGAGCAGGGATGCATGCAAAACCTGTTTGTTTTATTTTTCCTTTTATACAGACATTAACAAAACAATTTCTTGCCTCTGCTCCGTATCTCCTGTGGAGGGTTTGACCCTAAGGACGCCAGCTGCAGCCCCAGACACTTTGGCAGGAGGAGATGTTGTTGCAGCAGCCAGGGTTAAAATGGAAGAGGCTCTGAGCTTCCACCGGTGGTCGATTATGCATGGAGGGGAATTAACGCCCTTGCTTCCTGACTTGCTTCAGCTTCGGCACAAACTAAAAATAGAGGCCGAATAGGCTATCTGGGCTGGTAGGGCCTTCTATCAGTTCCTTTTAAAGGAGAGTATCAATGGAGGCAGTGTAATCCGTAAGTGGTAGGAAAGAATAAAGCCCAACTGATTATATGTGGACAGGTGGAAAGTTCTGCTGACAGACCTTTTCCTTTTCTTGATAGGGAAGGTAATTAGTGATCTTTTTAAATCTACAGAAAAAGCTGATTGACAGGTTTGAAGACAATCTATACAGACTGGGATAGGACCCAACTAGCAGGTTGTCAAAATGAACATGATTCATGAACACCAGTCCACCTGTAGATGGTTACTTCTGGGTGCGATTGAAACTTTGTGCTTCATGCTTGCAGCAGTTTTCTAACACCAGCCTTACTTTTATTGCTTTATGGAACATCAAACTGTTTATCGAGTTATAATCAGATAAAGCCAGCAAATCTTTACAAACTGCATTTGGCAACTGGATGATGATGATAAAACAATTCATGAATGATTTATCTCAAAAGGTATCTTTTTGGTGTGGCTCCAAAAAGGCTTCAAAACTTGTATTCTGTGTCCGAATGAGTTGGACTGAATGTGAAAATATAGTGTTTCATCATGGTTACTTTGCAAGTTTTGTGACATCTAGATTTGTATTACATACATTTAATAAATTATATAAATTCCTAATTTATGTCACTGTGTGTATTCTCATAAAGATTCCTCCTTATGTAGCCTGGTGGATAAAGTGAGCTGACTTTTCAATGTAATCATCCCACTGCTGCATTACCAGGACTTTCTTCCAGTTTCTTCAGCTTGTCTTATATAATATTGTAGGCTAATAGGGTGGCTCGGTATACCAGTACTAATTTGGTACCGACGCACCATTGCATTTAATAAGTTATTATACTGCATTTCGCTGGAACCGGTATTTGCATCTCTGTCAACAGAACCTGCAGCAGCGTGACGCAGCATTGAGGACAAGGAGCAGAGTTGGAGAAAGGGGGAGCGGCAAAAAGACTGCACACCGCTGCAAAGCAACTTTATCACGGGATTTAGAGAGTTTCAGACCATGTAGCGACTTTTTTTTTTATTTATAAGAAAAGAAACTGGAGACTCTGTGTTGGATATTTCAGTGAAAACACAAAAGCATTGAATGGTCAGCAGTAAAAGCAGTCAGTGCAACAATATTTTGATGCATACAGCTCATTCACTTTTTAAAAGCTGTATGCATTCAAATTGCGTTGTTTTTACACCGTGTTTATAAAAAATTATAATAAAGTTTGTCCAAGTCCAAGGTGAATGTAATGTTAATATAATGAGCTTTTTTTAACTGAACCATAGTTGCACTGAAATAAATTCTGCTTAAAGAGAGAAAAGTCTTTACTCTGCATTATATTGCTCTCTTATGTCTGCAGTTTAGGCTGACCAATCTTTTATATGAAGGAGATATAATCACCTGGTTAAACAATCATATGTTCTGTAAATTTTGTTTGATTTATTTTGTGTTTTTACAATAAATATAAAAAAAATATATTTTACAAGTTTTATTGACTTAGAAAAACTGCCAAATACAAAAACATTTTGCCGAGGCGTTTACATTGTTTATATCAATGCTGAATGTTGCCGTATCGACACAAAAAATTATGGATTCAGTTTTGGGCAAACTTCCAGCCCCATCCACAACATATCTGACGGTTCCTTCCTCAGCTGAGTTAACAGCATGGAGCTGTGCTGGAGAATATGCACTTACTGGCAGAGTGTCTGCGGTAATGTAGGGGAGAGGAACCGATGGGTGGAGTGAGAGTAATATAGCTATCATTTGCAGTAAGTCAAAGTGCATGGTGCGAGAGCAGGTTAATCCACTTATATAACTGCTGTGATGCATCATGTGCTAAAGTGAGTCCCAGCTCAGAGCTTCACCAAAGAGCCATGGGCTACATTTTGTAATAACCAAAACTATGAACTGCAGAGCAAAGAGATGACCTTCCTGAAATCCAACTAAATCTGCTTTGATTCTGTTACATTAAGTGGTGATTATATATATTTTGTGCTGCTCAATAAGCAGTTATAACCATGCAAAATGTTATTTATAAACATAAAATCTTACCATGCTTCTTCATAGCAGCCTTGGCATGTCCCACCGCCTCCCAGGGGCTGGGGATGTCCAGGAAGACCGCGTCTGCGACCCCCGTAACTCCGAATCCGTCTTTGCACACGTCCTGGTTCCTGACCGTGACCAAGTGATCCACACGGTGCTCCTTGAACTCCTCAACCACCTTTTCTGCACGCTGCTGGTGGAACTCCACCGTGTGTAGGTGGCCCGTCGGGGCAATTGTGCGCAAGATGGCGTGGGAGAGGGAACCACTACCAGTACCTAAAAAAAAACCATAAAGCAGGGGTAACCAATTAAAAATCAGTGGGGTCCGAATAAAGAAAATCAACAACCAGTAAAGGTCCGGAGACATTTTTAATTATAGTCTGTTACTTTAAAAAGCATTTAGTACTGAAATAAAAGGAGGTATTTATGCATCCATGCTATACATTGATTTTTTAAATTAAAAAAACATATATACATATATATTTTAAAATCTAAAGTGTTTTTTGAAGTAGAGAACAATCTTTCAGTTTGGTATATAGATAATTTCCTGATTCACATATTTTCTAAAACACCTGTTTTTTCTTTCTCTTCTATGGCTTAATGAGAACAGTGGGCTTTATGCTGCCCTGCAAGGTTTTAAACCTGGTTTGAATGGTGACAAAGCCATTCTCAATCACATATCAAGGTGCTCATTTGTGAGCCTGGATACTAGGCTTGTCCCGATCCGATCCACGTATCGGATCGGGACGCCGATATTGGCAAAAAAATGCGTATCGGCAAAGCATGTAAAATGCCGATCCAGACTGCCGATCCAGTTTTTAAAAAAAAAATCTGGTCCGTATTTTCCAGTTTCGTCGATTTAAACGATCCATTCCACTATTTTGCGCCAGTGTTTCCCTGTTTTGCATTTTTATTAAAACTTACAGTAATACATGCACCTTTAACTGTTTACGGTTTTACTGTTCACTGTGCAATTTCAGATTGCTATTCATAATATTGTCCAGTTTGTGTTTATCTCTTAATAAACAGGTAAGTTTGTTGTTACCAAGCATTGTGTTTTATTCAATCTCACCTAATTTAGCTGGCTAGATGTTATCAAGAGTACTAAAACCCTTTTCAACATGAGTCTTACAACTAAGGCTAAATACTTTAACTTAAACTTAAATACATGCTCGGATAGGCTGGTATCGGCCAGTATCGGTATCGGATCGGAAGTGCAAAAACCTGGATCGGGACATCTCTACTGGATACATATTTATTTTTGATTTTTCCTGCTTCACAGCAGCATGTTGAGCGAAACATACTCTAAATGTGCAGAGTCATCTTTGAGTGCACCATTGCACTTTTTTTTTTCAACAGTTTACAGAGGATCTTCCAGCAGTCCACACTTTCTCTGCTCTTTTTCTCATTGTCTTCTCCTTCTTTCCCATCGCGCGGCTTGACACATCTCATTGGCTATTGTGTCACGTGCAGCCTGGTCCCGGACGCTACGAATGCCTTTACCAAATTAACAAGAGAAGCGGCACAAGTAATGTTTAATAACTGTCGTCCGACAACGTGCAATAATTTATAAATGGTTTAAATCAGGTTGAGTCCGGATTAGCCAGCAGGTGGGTCCTGATGTGGACCCTTAATCAGTGACTTCTGCCATAAAGTGTATGTAGAGAAAAGCATGCAATTTATTTCTGATCAGGACTTTGTAGTTAAATCTCACTGAGAAACTAATGGATGCATTTGTTACTCCAAGGCCGGACTATAAGGGAGTCAACAAACTTCAGCTGATCCAAAATGCTGCAGCCAGAATTCTGATGATTATTAAAAAAACTGTTAAATTCAGAATAGAACCTAAATTTTCCTTTTCACATTTAAAGCCCAAAATAACCAATCTCCATCTGATATCAGAGATCCGATTGTTCCTCATGTTTGCCACTGCACTTTGCTTTACTGTGAAAAACTAGTTGTGCTCTCTATCATCCCTTTTGATTTGAACACTGGCTAAGAGCTTATCTGCTTTCTTTCAGACAGAGCTAGTTTACTTTTAACTTCACCGACATGGAAGGTTTTTATGAATCAGTGCTTTTAAGTTCCCTTTATGTGTCTGCTTCTGTCTCCTTAACCCCAGTCGGCCTCAGCAGAAGCCTGGTTCTGCTGGAGTCTTATTCTGCTTAAAAAATGCCTAACATCAATCGAATTACAGTAGCACCGATTTAAAACTCCAGCTGGCATTCAGTTATTTATGCTTTCTTGGGTTGAGTCAGAATGGCAAGACCATAATTAATATGTTTTATTTGAACCTTTTCATAAATAATGATAGAGTAGTATGGCTCATATGGGATGGATAAGGCTTTTCTTGCCATTCACCCAATCACTTTCACTAAGCTACACACATTCATGGCATCACAAGCAGGCTTGGAGATAAGGGACAAAAGAGGAAGCCAAAAACAAATCCACAATCTTCTGATTGGATAACTATCTGCTAAACCAAATACTGAAGCAGAAGTTTTATCAGTATTTTAAGCAGGTTTGGACCAGTTTTGAGAATCACACTCTGGATCATGCTAACTTAGCACTGGGAGAATGAAAGAGAAAGATTCCATGTAAACACAGGCAGAAATGCCCTATCTTTGCTTATAAGAAGCAGCAGTTTAAAAAGGAAATTTAAAAGACTGATTACTTGCGAAGCTCCTATCTCTGCAGAGACGAATGATAAGAACTGAATGTAAAAATAAGATTTAAGGAAAGATATCATTTCTCATAAAGAGCTTTAAAGTCCAACTAGGTGGGTTAAAACGGCTTACAAAAGCTCACATTCTCTTAGGTTCTGTCAGACGACCTCTATTACATGCTTTCCCATTCGCTTCCAGTGCTATAAACGGCACTAAATATTGGGCAATGAGGGACAGAAGAGAAAGGGGAAGTAGAGCTGTTCATAGGACTTACAGTAAGGCTGGGTAACTAAGTACTAGAACCAGAGAGAGCCCCTTACATCCCATCCTCCACTCAGACTTTACATTTAACTAAGTGATGTCACCGCCACTTTGCTGTGGGAGCCACAAAGAAAGCAGTGTTCTCAGACATGGCTAGGACCTTCAATCTGTTGGAACGTGTAGAGAGTCGCCGTTAACAAACAACATTTAAGGCACTGTTCAAAGCAGCATAAAATAAGAGATAAAAAAATGAAAACTGTTGAATAAAATGGTCTCGCAAACAGCAAAAAGGGCAGCTGTGTTTTTATCATCTCATTCCCGATTAAACAATCATGAACGTCTTATCGTTATGGTGAAGAACTCGCTGTTCAGATATTTAGTCTTCCCGGTGGACAGGAACTACTGTTAGTGATTACATTAACGTTAAAATCATGTCTGATTGCAGCTGCATGCTCTCAGTTCTACAATCCACACTGGATGGAAAAAAAAAATCCACCAGACGACTAAAGCGTTACATCTTTGTCTTCTTCTATATGGCTTGATTAAACATGTGACCTACTATGATCTATGTTCTAGAAGCGGATTTCTTTAAAAGCTTCTTAAATCTACAAAATTATTTTCATAGCGTTTAAATATGATAAATACAATAATTAAACTTCTACGGACAGTTTTTTGGGTTTTATTTCATAAGAGGAAGTATTACACTTCACACACGACAGGATAATTTGGTGACTAATCTCTCCTCCTTTGCCAAATTCAGAGTAAAATTATGCAAAAAATTACATTTTGATTATTAAAATGACTCAGTAACTTCATTTTTGCTGCACAACCTTTAACCCTTTATAGGGAACTATGTGAAATACTTAGAAAATCAAAACTTTTAAGCCAAAAGTGTAATTGGAATCCAGGACAAGACCTTATTACCTTTGTAACATTAAAAAAACAGTTTGTAAGGGTATGCAAGTGATCAAAAACGGTGACTTGCCGGGTTTAAGACCATCACTACATCAAACTAATTATCCAACAGCCAATGAGGTTTCTGCATACGTTACCAGACATGTGGTTCACTGCAGGAGAGCACACCGCTCCAGCTGCCTGTGGTTTTAAGGGTGCCATCCCCAGATGGCAAATTTTCGCTCCTTCCTCGAATATTTCGAAGGATTTAAATCAGTCCAATGTTTTATTCTTCACTAGCCCTGGGTGTTTTATCATGTTGTCAAGTATTGTTGGAACAAGCAACGGTAGGAAGTGGGATTTGACACCAATGTGCCTTATACTTTAATTTCCCCTTTGCTTTGGACTCTTATCATTTTTATCATATTTATCTTTAATATATTTTCCTTTTGCAGCCATGACCACTGAAGCTGCCTACAGTCCTTCACACCTTTTAGTTCTGAATTAAGTGTGCAACTGTAGCCACAGGAACATCAAGCTCCTTGGAAATGGTCCAACAGCCTTTACCTTTAACATGCTCGTCTCTAATCGTCTTCCTAATCTCCCGCAACATCTCTCTCTCTCTCCTTTGCTTCATGTGGTCCATTTTCAGTGTGATGAACGCCATAGTACGCTGGGCCTGACCAACTTTTAAGACAACTGTATTACTAATCATAATCTTAGTTTGCATCATGTCCATGTCCTCTATGTTTATTTTTAAACAACAATCTGAAAAAAAAATATTGGATTAAAAATATAATTCATTTAAATTTAAAACTAATAAATGAATTTAAAGGGAGAATTAAATGGTACATCTCAGGTGTTTAAAGAGTTGATGGCTGAAGGCAGGAAGGATCTTTTGTTTCAGGGCTGGTCTTTAGAAGCCCGGCTGAAGACACTTTTGTACTAATGAGAGGATGCTCAGGGTTTTCTGTGATGCCATTTATTTAATTTCATCTCCAGAGGTCCTAGAGCAGCTCCTAGAACAGAATTTGAGTTCTTTATCAGCTTGTTTAGCTTCTTTAAATCATTTAATCTGATGCTGTTACCCCAACAGAACTTAGTACAACACTGAAGGACCTAAACTTCCTCTTATATTCTGCTCTGTCCATTCACGTAGATGGCTTTCAGTCTGTTGTATAAGAATTAATTATACTCCTCCCACACATCTTCCATTGATGGCAACATTGTTTGAACTGTTCTTGTTTCTCCTGAAAGCTACATTCATCTAGTTGAGAGGCAAGCTACTTTCCATGCCATGCCACAAAGCGGTCCACCTGCTTCCTGTACTCAACCTTCTATTCATATCTGGTACAACGAGGGATGACCAATTACCGACAATTTTCTGCTTTTCATGAACAATACCGATTCTGATAATGATAAGTTAATATTCAATGTTATCTTTGCATCATCAGG